CTAAGTAGAGAGCCCCAGCCTGACTAGCTCAAAGGCAGCAGGGATGGGTCTGAAGAGAAGGTGGCCTAGTCAGGATGGCTTTGTATACAGATTGGGGTGTGCCTAGAAGGAGCTGCAAAGGCCTCTTAGAAGTGGGAATTTAGAGCTGGGCACAATGGTGCATGCCTGTAATCCCAGCACTCAGGGAGGCAGAGGCAGGCTGATCTCCGTGAGTTCAAAGGCCAGCCTGATCTACAAATTGAGTCCAGAACAGCCAAGGCTACACAGACTCTAAAACCAAAATAAATAAACAAAAGAAGAAGTGGGGATTTTTCAGCAGGTGACTGGAAATCAGGAGAGAGGCTGGCTTGGAAGTCATCAGTTTACCCGTAAGGATGGAAGCCGAGTTTGGTACAGGCTGAGGGAGAAGGGAAGGACTCTTAGAAGCATACTGAAAGATGAGAGGGGAAAGCCATAAAAAGGACCAAAGGGCAGCCACAGGGAGCAGAGGAGCTGGAGAAAGAAGGAGCCAGCCCTGGGAGGGCTCACAGGCCTGGATGGAGGCCCCCAGGTGTCCAGTAGTGACTCCAGGGGGACAGTGGTGGGCTGTGACAGGAGATGCTCTCCTTTGGCAAGAGGGATGTTTAGGATCTGGGTGGTGGGAAGCTGACAGGATTCTCAAGTGATAACCGTTCTCTGACAGGGATGGTGGGAGACTTGAGGAGACGGGGCGGTGGGGGCTGGGCCAGGTTGAGACTGTGTTGCTGCAGAAGGAAAGCAGCTGATGTCACGGCGGATGCTGAGCACCTGAACTAAATAAACAGCAGCAATCGGATCAGGGAGCTGGAGTCTGCAAGAAGGGGAGGCCAGAAACCCCATCATCAAGCAGGGGCTGTACGGAGCTGCAGGAACTGAGGTGGCTGTAGATGCTCATCAGTGAGCAGCTGGCACCCAGGTGGGTGCAGACCTCAGCCAGCCCACAAGTGGCACCTAGGTGGATGTAGACCTTAGTAAATAGTAGGCACTTGGGAAGATCTAGACCTCAGAAAACAGTTGGCACACAGGTGGCTGCAGACCCAATACTAAACAACTGGCACCCAGGTGGATGTGGGAGGCCTAAGTACACAGTACCCAGGTGGATGTAGGAAACAGTGGGCACACAGGTTGGTGCACACCTCAGTCAGTAGACTGAGTATCTGCTACAAGCTGGACTCTAGGCACGGGTGTCTGCTGCAGAGACAGGTGCCAACTGAGAATGTAAGAGAGGATGCTGGGAACTGCACAGCACAGCCCTGTAATGGCGGACTACATATCTGTGGCGGTCCAGCTGGACAGCATGTGGTTTTCTTCAGCAACACAAGAGCAAGGCTAGATGGACCACAAGCTAGAACGTTATAGAAAGGGATGATGGAGAGATAACAGGTAAGAAGGGTGCTGGGCGGTCAGCAAGAAAGCGATTTGGCCACCAGTTATGTCACAGATGAAGGTGAAAATCACATGTGGAAGCTAATCAGATCTACTGGCCAGCAGCCACCATGGAGGGCTGAGCTGCTATCTGCATCGATTGCTCACCACATTTAGACAGATCTTTCAGACCTTAATATATTCATGTTAAGATGCACACGCCGGGCTGGAGGTACAGCTTAGGGGCACAGTGCCTGCCTAGCATATGCGAGGCTCTGGGTTCAATCCTCAGCACTGGAAATGCTGACAGACCAGGGCTGGACTCTGCATTTCCTTCTTTTTCCTTCTCTGGCTCTGAGGATCAAACCCAAGGACTTGGACAGGCTACATCCTCAACCAACTTTGCATAACATCTTATCAGCTCCTGGGAAAGAATGGTGCTGCTGGCCTGCAGAGCACCCTTTAAACTGATTTTAATTTTTAAAAGTATATCCCCGTTATGTACACCAGGATGTTTTGTAACACACGGATACTGCGGAAGGCTAAACAGAGCTAATTAATGCACATTCCGTCATATACTTACCTTGTTTTTTGGTGGTGAGGACATTTAACATATACCTGCCTAGTCGTTTTCAAGAACACAATTTGTTATTATTTACTATGGCCAATATATGGCGCAAAGGATCTCAAATGTACTTGCCCTATTTAACCAGAATTTTGCATCCTTGACCAACAGCTCTCCACCCCCTTGCTCTGGACAGTAGGGCTTTCCTTTCCTTCTGTGAGAGCTCATTTGTCCTATGCCTTTTGGTGAGGGACTGGAGACTGTTCTGCCTTCAGGCACCCAATGGTCTGTCTGACATGCTGATAGCTTGTAACAGACAATGATAATAGGAGCCACACTACTGGTATCTACAGTCAGGGTACTGTTTGTGTGTGGGAAGGTTGTTTTTCTGCTTCCCTTTGGAGGGCTGGTTGGCTGGTTGTTAAACAGTTTATATACCCACCATTAACGGTGTTAACATAGTAAAGGGGTCTGGACAGCAAAGTCTGAGATGGTCTCAGCCACAAGTTGATAAGGAGGCATCAACATGAAGGTGCCTGGGGAGACACTGAAGGCCCGACTTATCTAGTATGCCAGAGTGCCCAGTGGGGGCAAGCACTCAGTACTGCCCTATCTGTGTGCCTGTGAGTCACTGAGAGAGGACAGCTGGACCGGAAAGGGAAGAACAGAGGTGTGATGGGCAGAGTGACTTGCTGGAGACTCTCATCTCTAGGCACTGTACCTTCCTGTCTTTGCTAGACTACCAGGCAGACACGATAGAAAAAAAAAAAAAAAAAGTGAATAATGCACGTCAGCCACAGAGAAGGAGAGTAGTTATTTTTTATCTGACTTGCTTACTGACCTAAAAACTGGAGGCAGATTAAAACAAAAAAGAAATCACTTATCTAATAAGGAAAACCAATGGAATCCCTTTTGGTGACCATTTGAGGAAGAAAATGGGATACTACTCTACTGCTGGAAAAAATAAGGGGCGGGAGGTGTCTTTTTTTTTGTTTTTGGACTTGTGGACTCTGCCCTCTTAGTGTTCTCTTTCCTTTTTAAAGATTTACTTATACAGCATTCTGCCTGCATGTGTGCGTACCTGTACACCAGATCTCTCTACAGGCGGTTGTGAGCCACCATGTGGTTGCTGAGAATTGAACTCAGGACCTCTGGAAGAACAGCCAGTGTTCTCAACCTCTGAGCCATCTCTCCATTCCCTCTTTCTTTTTCTTTTTAAATTTTATTTTATTTATTACAATTTATTCACTTTGTAGCCCTGCTGCAGCCCCCTCCCTTGACTCCTCCCAGTCCCATCCCTTTAAATTCCTTTTAACCTCACACGCCTTCTCATTAAGGTCACAGACTCCCCAGTCCCTTAGCTGTCTGGCAGATGAATCCCTGCCAGCTTCATTCAGGTTCTCCTGACGCTCCTCTGACTAAATAAACCTGCTGAATGGCCTACAGATGATGCTGAGGTATCCACAAGACTTGGAAGACAGTGGTGGCAGAGGGAGCCATTCTAGGAGCTTGCAGGCCCTGGAAGAGGGAGGCTCCTGGGGTGAACTCAGGGACACAGGTTCATGGAAACCATGGTTGGCCAGGGGTCCTGACGTACAGGGCAAGGCTGTGCTACTGTCATTGGGAGCCTGCACTGGCACCAGGGAAGGGGGGAGCTCCTATCTCTGGATGTAGAGGGAGAGCAGAGGCCTTAGGATGAATTTGCTATACATTTGGAGTATGAGGATACAGATGGTCTGTGCATCTGTGTGCCTGATGAAGGGTACAGTCTGCTGTAGCTTTGGAGGTCCACATCTCCTTTCCTGCCAGGGGAGAGGAGATTTAGAGTAGGCCAGGTAGATACCATCCAGGGTCTGACAAGCATTCCCTATCTCTAGTTTAACTCCTCCCACCCACCCGCTGCACTGCACTGCGCTGGAGCCACTAAGCTGCAGAGGTGCTACACTCTGCCCTCTTAGTAGAGGAACCGAAGAAGTAGCCCAGACATGGGGGGAAGGGAAACCCCACTGTTGAACCCAATACCTAAAGGCCTGCAGGACCCACAAAACAGCAGGATGGATTGCCAGCGTCAGGCATGGCACTCAGGGAAGCTAAGTGTCCCCTTCCTGGGATCCTCTTCTACCGCAGAGTGGGGAGTAGATGGGACAGGTCACTGTGGAGAGGATGCTCTCAGGACTCACAAGAGGAAGAGAAGGAAGGCCTGACATCAGGGAACCAGGGTCCTTTTAACCCACTGGCCTCAGCAAACTGGGACAGGGTGTTGCATGGTTGTGAATCTGGGGCTGGGGCATTAGTAACAGTGGGGCAGCAGGGGAGAAGGAAGTGTTTTAGAGACAGGAGAGGCAGAGAAAGCCTGTATTATAGCTGAAATGGTGATGGGATGACTATGGGTGTGCGTGTGTGTGTATGTGTGCATGTGTGTGCGTGTGTATGTTTGTTTATGTGTACATGCATTTAGGTGGAGCAGGGCTCCCTTCAAGTCAAAGATACCTTATGATTGACATATTGATGCAGGAAGCCATTCTGGCCTCTCAAGATACTAGTCTGGGGTGAAAGGCACATGAAAGAAAAGCTGTGTGGGTGTGCTTGAGCTAGCTCTGCCTGCTTGCTGGCAGGTCCTGGTCTTCAGAGACTGGAGCGTGAAGGGAAGGTATGCTACTGCTTACATCTTCCTTCCCCTGGAAGTGTTTCTTTTTGGGGGGTGATTAACAAGTACAATTGTCTGTCTGCCTTCTGTCTCTCTCTTTTAGTGCTCGGGATCATGCATGCCAGGCAAGGACTCCAGTGTGGCGCTATAGCCCCAGGCCTACAACTGTGTTTCTCAAGGTATCTTTGTATGTTGCTCCAGGTAGGAGAGGCGGTTTTGCTGGGAAGCCTCCTTCACGCAGGATTTCCCAATAGCAGAGGCTTCTACAGTGGGTAGCACTCAGAGTGCTAGGCTGCAGAAACAGAAGGTTAAAAACAAACAGATGCCCTCTCCCTTCCAGCTCGCTCAACACAAGCAGCTTCCAGTCACAACCGAGTCAGGCTAGAAGTCTGTTGACGCCTTTACCTGTTCCAGATCCTACAACGTCTCGGCTTGGAGACTCGGCCATGGCATCAGCAAGCCGTTCTCGGAGGCCCTCCTCTGTGTGCTCCATGGAGGACATATGCCGCAGCCCGAAGCCCTCAGGCCAACTCCCACACACCTCCAGCAGGGTCACACTCCGGTCAAAGGTACCTGTGACACGTGTGGAACACATGATGTTGAGTCCATGCCTTCAGAGAACAGACTGTTTTCTGTCCACCCACCACCTGTGGCCTGCCATGCCAGGGCCACTTCAGCCTTTCAACTAGAAGAATGAGGGGTGGGTTACCCAGGGATGGGAATGTGTGAGGTGGAGGACAGTAGGCCATGCCACTGGGTCAGAGAGTATACATCCACGAATGACTGCCACATCGATGAGGCATGTGAAGTTAAAAAACAGTCCCTGAGGGGTGAGGGGTCCCTCTGGTCTTCGGACACTTTTGAGAGTGTCCGAAGGGGGAAGGAACCCTTCCTAGGTTCAACACAAATGACCTGCTTTTTCCCAGACACAATCCTCTCCACCTACAACCGCAGGAGTGGTTACAGGTGACGGACTCCTTCCCCAGCAGTCTCCGGCACTGAATACAGACACAGAAAACAGGCACCCCCGGGAGCCCCAGCACAGACGCAGAGGCCAGATGAACAGAAGTCCAAGGTCATCCTCCGCTACACAGTGAGTTTGAGGCAGCCTATGAGACACTGTCTAAAATAAAAGAAGGGCCGGGGAGATGGACTCAGGTAAAGCTGTGTGCAGCAGCGCAAGCATCTGTGATCCCCATGTTCCCATGGTGACATGAGAGGCAGAGACAGGAGAATTCCTAGAAGCTCATGGGCCAGCTAGCCTGGTGTACACAGTGGTGAACAACAAAGAGACCCTGTATCAAGCAGGATGGAGGGTGAAGAGCAACACTCAAGATCATCCTCTGACCTCCATATACACACGTAAGTACACACACACACACACACACACACACACACACACACACACACCACCACCACCACTACCACCGAGACTAATAAAAGGGGGGTTGCAGAGCCTAAGCTTAAAAACAAAGAACTTCCCAAGCCGCTGTCCTCTATAAGATAACCTGTAACAGGCAAGGCTTAGAGAAGTCAGGGGCTTAGAATAAACAGTAGGCTGTGAGAGACTTGGTGCCAAGGACTCAGATGTGCTGAGGCCTGGGTCTGGAACTCGTTCTACCTCACCGCAGATCGGCTCCCAGACGTCAGGGACATGGGCATGTCCGGGGTACCGTTTCAGGGATGTGAGCGATACGGCTGAGTGATAGCATCTTCAACAAGGATCCTTCCTTAATCCAAACCTGTCCCCGTGTTCTAGAAAGCACACGGCGTTCCGCTGGATGCCAAGATTAGACGTTATATGCAGGATCACTTCAAAGTCTGGGTAGAAGTGACTCGGCTTTACTCTGCGGCAAGTTCACTGAGAAAGCTTACTTCATCCAGTCTCTCTTGGAAAGAGATTATGGTCATGGTCTGTTGCTTTAAGCACATACCATTTCCCCGGCGATTAGGTAACGGAATCCACTACATTTATTGGGCTTGGTTCCTGCCAGCACCAGGAGGAGGGGGGGGTGGATGATGCAAATGCCAATGTTTCCCCAAAGTTAAAAAGTACATGAAACGCACACTCTTTATCAGGTCTTGTTTCTCCTCTTTGATCAGCCGTCAGAAACTATCTTTCCTCGGCGGGCAGGACTGGGCAGTGTCAGTGCACACTCGAGGCCACTGACAGGTGGTAATAGAGAGGGTGCGAGCCCTGGCCCCGGCGGGCGGCCCTGCCTGTGATAAGGCCCACAGCACGGAGGTGATAACCGTTAGTAAACACCCCGACAGCCGGTGCCTCCATACATCAGCAAAGTGGGCCCGATAATCCCGAACCCTCTGGCCAGACAAAGGCCCCTGGCCAGCCTGCTGGGATTTATATGTGTGGCAAGGGTCACTGCCGGCTCCTGAATTTCATCAGGCAACTTTGGCTTTGATTTATTTCTCACCTAATTGTGAGGTAGATCCCTGGTACAGGGAGAGTGCATAGCATCTGCAGATACAACCTCCCCAAGAAGGAGCCTGCCTGGAGAGGGTGGTACTTGCCATCAGCTTATCAGGTGGGACCTTGATATGGGGGGGGCACCCTCCATTGGGCAGGATGAGGGTCTGAGGAGCCAGGCTTGGGAGTTGGGGGAAGGGGGAAAGGAGTGTTACTGGATCCTTAAAGGGCCTGAGCTGAAATTTAGCTCTGCACTAGCAGGAGCCAAGGCCACAGCTGACACTCCAGTGTTAGCAACAGCTCCCAGGAGTGTGTCCTCAAGGACACTGGCCTAAGGGCAGAGGCTAAGCTTGCAGATCTATTCCTATTCAGTGATGTCAGAGGTGACAGCCTTGACCCTTTGGAAGTGAGAGAGCTAGTCTCTGCTCCCGCCTCAAGGCACGAAGACACTGAAGGGGAGACCTCAGGAAGCTGAGGTCTGAGAAGATCAAGAGCCAAGTGCTCACTATTATTTCAAAGAGTCAGCCTGGGGCATGACGCTTAGTGACATCAGAAGAAACGGTGGCCGCTTTTTCTCTGTTTCCTTAGCTTCCTTTCAGAGCGTAGAAACCTTTCATATCACAAGAGCAGGTGTCTGTGTCTAAAAGGGTGTCAATACATATTGTGTTTAGAGGTCAGGGCAGGGGGCTAGAAGAGGGACAGGAGGACTGAAGACAAGCAGAGAGAAAGAAAAAAAATCAGAAAAAAAGTTGTAGCAAGAGGGGTTTGGGTAGGAAATGAAACAAACAACAAAAGAAGGGTTTGGGAGAGAAGGCCCAGTCCACAGAGGGTAAAAGCCAGAGGAATCTGTCCTTTTTTGGTCGTGTTTTTGAGACAGGCTCTCTCTGTGCTTCCTGCTCTGGTCTTGTGCTTTCCTGCCTCAGCCTCCTGGGCTGAGGTTATAGTTATGTGTCACCATGCAGCTAGTGCATAATATACGAAAGGACAAAGCAATAGCAGAAAAGCATCATGAGCTGGTCTAAGAGTTCATGGGGCCAGGCACGCCTGTAATCCCAGCACTCGGGAGGCAGAGGCAGGAGGATCTCTATGAGTTAGAGGCCAGCCTGCTCTACAAAGTGAGTCCAGGGCAGCCTAGGCTACACAGAGAAACCCTGTCTTGGGGATGGGGGAAGCAAAGAAAGTGGGAAGTGGGAACCGATTTCGGCTAAAATACACACTCTGTGCTGTGCTAGCTGCCTAACTCCAGGCAGGGGCCTCAGACCCCTCAGCCCACCTCAGAGCCACCTCAGGGACTGAGACAAAAGAAAGCATGTGAGGTGTTTTGTGAACAGGTTAACACCATGGGGTATGCTCAGTGGCAGAGTCTTTGCATAGCATGTGGGAGGCCCTGAGTTTGAGCCCCAGCACTGCAAGCAGTAATAATGATAATAGCTACTTGGTGATGACAACAGTGCCAGGTAAAGCGCGCCTTTTGCCAATGGAAGCTGCACTTAATTCCTCCCACCACAGGAATCATGAATGGCACTGTAGGTATCGCCTCAATTTACAGGGGCGTTGGAGCGTGGAGAGCCTAAGTGACACGTTTGGAGTCTGTAAATGACAGATCTGGAACACGTTCACCCTGTTAGCTCCCATGGCTCTGCCTTTGGTGGCACCTGCTGTGGACAACAGTTACGTGTAAAAATCACCTCCACCTTCCCTAATGTGTGTTGAGGATGCCTGTCGCCTCAACCAATGCCTTTCAAAAGCCAGCCCCCCCCCCCCCACAACAACCCATGTTCCTTGAAGATTTGTAGCCGTGGTGACGAGTCACCCTGTCTACCCAATGGCACTCAGGAGAACATAGACCAAGGGATCTAGTCTCTTAGGATGGGCACAGCTTAGAAGCTGGGGGCAGGGTGTGGGAGAACCCAAGAGTGCTCAGTGAAGGGGTCCTCAGTCCTCTCTGTTGTCCTGAGATGCTGCAGGCAGTGACAGCTTCCTTCAGGCTGCTAGGTGGAGGCCCTGAGGAGGCTCTGATACCCTTTCCGGGGGCAGCCTTGGTCTGGAGAGCCTCCCACACTGGAGTGAGAGCAGGGCTGCAGGCATGCAGGGATCAGCAGGCGCTGGCTGAAGAGGCCAAGCCCTTGGAGGATGAGGTCACTTCTGGCACTTAGGAAGCTGCTTCTCTTGTCAGTGTTGCTTGAACAGCTATCCTTCATTTGACTGGCCCGGAGACACTCCCTTGGACAGGGGCAGTTTGTGTCCCATTATGGAGACAGACTGTTTCAGGGGTCCAGAAAATGCTCCCCGAGAGCAGGCCATTTGCAGAGCCCAGGGAACGCGTGCTTAGCAACCAGGCCCTGCTGCTGCAGCTGTTTCCAAGGCCTTCTCCTGGCGGCTGCTCCATCTGACGCACAGTCATCAAACATTGATTAGCGTCCACTCTGATATGAGTCAAGCCTCTTTCTGAGGAACGGGAACCAGCATGACAGGGGGAAAAGGAGCTGAGTTCACAAAACTCTGGGAAGCAGCAGCTACTAATATCTCCTGAGCCAGGGAGACCAAGGGTAACTGGTTTTAACTGGTCTTCATTTGGGAAGTATTCCCTTTACGGTTGCCTGCTATTCTAGTCTCTAAATCTCATTTTTCTAAAGTTGAGTTCAAGTCTGAACTGCTCAGGGAAACCCTGGGCAACCGCCCAAGGGGCAACAAACACAAAGGCAGACTCGGTTAGTGCAAAAGGTGACTTTATCTTTCGAAGTGGAGTTGGTGAAAGCTGTGCCTTTACCAATAAAAATGTGTGATTGGGTCTGAGGGTAGAGCTCCATGGCAGGATGCCTTCCCATCTTACTTGAAGCTCTACATCCAATTCCCAACATACACACACACACACAAACACACACACACACACACACAGACACCCCAAGGGGGTTCTATAGAGCTGGGATGTGGCTCGGTGCTAGAATACCTGTCTAACAAATAGGAGCTACATGAGCCCCTGGGGTTTGGTCTCTAGCACTGGGGAAAAAAATAGTATGTTTGCACATAAAAATTATACAAGTAATTTCAGGGTGTTTAGGGATAGCTTGAAGCTCATGTGTGGACTTAGGTTACTCTGGGGACCAGTTCATTGTCATCCATATCCCCAAGCTGTTCACATGCTCTG